CAATGGCCTCCAATCTAGAAGCTATGGCCTCCAACCTAATAGCAATGCCCTCGAACCTAGTCGAGATGGCCTCCATACTAGCAATGGCCTCCAACCTAGTAGGGATGGCCTCCAACCTAATAGGGATGGCCTCCAAGCTAGTAGCGATGGCCTCCAACCTAATAGCAATGGCCTCCAACCTAGTAGCGATGGCCTCCAACCTAAAAGCAACGGCCTCCAACCTAGCAGCGATGGCCTCCAACCTAAAGGGGATCAGAAACCAACCCTTGAAGCCATACTATGCCGTATGCCGTACTGGTGCTTTTGCAAAGGTCTTTATGGATGCTTATGCGGATGAATCTTGACCACGCGAGGAACGTGCACCTTTGCCCATGCCAACGGTTTCGAACGTCTGCAACGAACGTGTCCTGATTCTTGGGCTGCGCCATCTCCATCAGCCTGTTTCAGTCACGCAATTGCGCTTGATCGACGATTAAAAATATTACAAAGATTTATAACGTTAGTCTCTCTCTATATATATTTGTTTAGAGTCTTGCGCCAATGTCGGAGAGATCTCAGATTCCGGAAGCCCACACCTTCTGCCGAGACTCCACACAATTTTGCAAATAGACCCAGCTGCATGAGATGCGTACGGAACTCGGGCGCGTCAAAGTGTTTATGTTTTTCTCAAAAGTCAATTCCTTGCAATCTCTAAAATCCTAAATATAAAGGCAGGTTCCCCTCTACAAAAGGCCTCCGGCAGCTGACACCTTCCTTGGAAGATCTTGAGACAGTCAACCTCGGACATGGAGGTGCAAGACCAACAAGGAAACCATCGGGGCTGGCTCCTTTGGGCCAACCATCAGAGGCACGAGTGCTTTGGATGAAGGATTATCGCTACGATGGTGGAAAGACCTTTATCTAGTAACCCTTCCACAACCAGTTGCACCACCAACTCCCCACACCATAGTGATTGGATGATTGGCAATCTACCGTGTATGTATAGACCTAGCCATCGCTGGCTCTCCTCTCAATCTGCGCCGGAGCCACCAAGCGAGGCTGTTCCGCCGCGAGTCAGTGTCGACTCCGGGGTTGCTGTTGTGCTTCAGCGCAGGCAAGGAAAGGGACTTCTTCAACCACCTGGGAGCATGGAACGGATGAAGGGACGCAAATGCAAAGGAACCAAACCTACAACTCCAGGCATGTAAAAAGTTCGTTCCGTCAGGAGCTCTTGCTTGTGGCGTGCCTCCCACATGGTGCGTTCAAGAGATGCTGACAAAACGTGGACATTGGCGATTTTAATAACTGAAGGATAACATATCGGAAAACATGTACACATTCAGGATTCGACACAAGGCTAAAGGTGTTCTTACTCGTACACTCGTGCGTTTATAGAAACCTGATGTTTTATGACGTTCTTGGGGTGCGCTGATTGGGCATTGAGATTGCGGTGTGGGTTTCCAGTCGCGGCTTAGCATCAACGGATGTGAAACTAATGTATGTATATCATATAATATATATATACATATATGAGGGACATTTAGTAGCATTCATGTCATGCAGAAAGATTTAAAAAACAATACGTTTAGGCTTTAACACACATTAAAGTAATAGGGCCGGACATTGGAATTGTGTTTAATGTGTTGAATTCCCTGGACTGAACCCATGACTGGAGCTCCAGGGCTTATGGCATTAATGTTTCTATTGTTTGTAATTCCCCACAGTATAATGCAGTGCAGTTGGGTTTCAATCTGGGGCTGGGAGTGGTGCACAGTTGGTCCACGGGGCTCCCAAACCGGAGTTGAGACTGGTGCGCAGTTTGTCCACAGCTGTATGGAACTTTGGGTGCTGCCTGGGCTTAGTGGTGCACATTTTGTCCACTTTGCTCGAAAGCCGGAATTCTATCCAGGAACCCTGCGTGCTGTCTGGAACCTTTGGTTGCTGTCTGGGCTCATCCTTGTGTGCGCAAACAAACAAAATTATCGGAGACATCGTGAGAACATCGTCGTGGGACTATGATTTTGGTGGCGGTGTTGGTCGTGTCCCACCTTGGAACCTGGCTGGTGATCTGCTTCACTGTTTGCACTGGCTTGATTTTGCAGCTTGCGATTTGAAGTTGACTTGACCTGCATTGTCTTTGAATATGGGCACAGTTGGGTTTCAATCTCTGGGGCCGTCCGAGATCCGGACTTCCTCCTTCCGGACCGTTGGAGCCCTGGGCACTGTCGGTGCTGTTGGGGGCTGTGTTCAGAATGGCCTTCAAACGTCGTCATGGGCATGTCTCTGGCGGGGCGTTTCTGCAACCGCAACAGCTTTTGCACTTGTAGTGTGCTTTGTCTCCACTACCAAGCAATCTCTCGTCGCAGCCAAAATGTTTGTATGCGCAGCAAGGCCACAGGTAGTTGCACGTACCTCGCAGCAAGGTTTCTGCAGCGGCAACAGCTTTTGCACTTGTGGTGTGCCTTTTGCCTCCGTTGCAGCGCTTTCTGCACACCACAGGCAGTTGGACGTTTCTGCAACCGCAACAGCTTGTTCGCTCGCTTGGAAGCACAACAATTGTGTGTGCGAGTGACAAACCTCTGCCAGTCTCCTGTCTCTTTGAAATGACAGCTAACACAAGCTGATGCATGACACGTTGGTTCCCATGTTGCAGAGCTTGTAAAAGCTGCCACATTTCTTGCTTGGACACACATTGCAGTCTGTGTAGGCAAAACCATGTCATCACAAGCCTGCTTTTTTGTCAAACATGATTTTCTCAATGTGCTTTCTGTAAATTGTTCAGGGTAAAAATCAATTGTTTCTAACAGCTTTGCTTGAAGAAAAGTCGATAACATATTTTGTTAACTTCTCAGCTAACTCCGTACCTAAAGTGTTACCTTATAACTTGAACTCCTTCAGCTAGTTCATAATGTCATAATGATTGTCGCATAACATACATAACACTCTTAACACATTGGCAAAGCGCAGGCTGATCTAAGCACTGGATCGCTCTTTCTTTGCAAATCGGCAGCGTCTCCGTTGTCACATCATATGTTGGAACTGTCTCGCTGATCTTCTTTCTCTTCACCTCACACCCTCCGCCAATCGCCAACCGGCTCAAATGTGCACCCTCTTTTCCCTGAATCGCCTTTTTCACACGCACCCTTTCATCAAGCTCGGGGTGCAAGCCAGGCTCTTCGCTACCATGCAAATGAGCAGGTGCTGCCGAACCCTTTTCCTGATAAGCCTAGGGGCGTCTTGGTCCTAAATGTAAAAAGATGTGGTGCATGTACGAGATGCGTGCATTTTGCATATTGTAATATATATATATATAAATAGAAATATATATATATATATTGTGTTCTACTATTTCAGTTTTGATATATATATATATAGGTGTTCTCTGGTGCCCCAAAAGGGGTTGACCAGGAAATGTGCTTGAGGATCTTATAGGTGTTGGTTGAGTTTCTAAAGAACACATCCATCAGCACCATCCACGATCCACCCGAATGCGGCATGAAAACATATAAAAACCTTCAGCCTGCGACCACCTGCAAAGCAACTGTGCCCCTGGCCATTGCTTCAAGGTCTCGGGATTCTTCTGAGTCCTCAAAGCATGTCCACGCACTATCATTTTGATAGATAACCTGTAACTCTCCCGCAATCTCCCACAAGCTAACATGGTCAATCGCTTTAAAGGGGTTCTTCTGTGAGGCAAATTCTGGGTTTGGGTCAGGATTGAGCAAAGCAAACACTTCTAGAGTGCTGATAGGCCGCACGCTCCAAAATCTTCTTACTTTATCAGCACAAAAAGCTACGTGCATAGGCTGACAATCTGCCGTCAAAACTCGCGAAGATTGACATCCACGCTTGAGTGGAGAACACACAACCAACGGACAGTGGTATTTTGCACAGTGGTTGAAGACCGCAGCTGATTCTGATGCCTCATCCAGTACAGTAGTTCCTCCGACTATATATATTCCCTCAAGCAAACCCACCTAGAAAGGACCGAGTGTATGTTTAAGAAACTACAAACACATGCACTAAACTCAAATTCATCTGTGCACCTGTACCGTGGCCAGAGTGTGCTATTGAAGGGAATCGAACATGTTTACACCAACATTTCACCCAACATGCCCTATGATAAAATGTACCTTTCTTTTCAACCCACCCTCCGTTCCAACGGTAAAACTTCAGCAACTTGCGATACGGTCTTTGTTTTAGGGATAGTGCTTTGACTTCTAATCACTTCCATGATACATCCGACGGGCAACAAGGACGGGTCATTCCCGCCGCGACCCAGATCGCTGCCACGGCTCGCTGACGGCTTCAGCGTGGAGATGAAGGGCGGAGCCTCCGTCTTGATGTCGCGGAGCCGCTCCTGGGCGGCCGAGACGGGCACCCCGACATGGTCTGGGACGTCGGTGAACACTCACCTTCAAACGAAGGAAACTGGACATATAGTCTGGGGATATGACCTGTAACATGCTGTTGCTGTTTTTTGTCCGTCTCAATCTGTCGTTGTCGCACCTTTCTTTGTTGTTGGTTTTCGGAACACAGGCAATGGCCTTACACTTCAAACAGCCAGCACATGGAAAGCGGAATGCATTTTTTAGCATCATCCAGCCACAAAAACCACCACCGGTGACTGGCCTGGCCTCTCAGACCATTTGTCAACAGAAATAGAAGGCCCGACGGCCCGACCAAATGGGATGAGGGTTCCCAAGATGTAAAACAAAAATCCAGCAAGTGACAAAGACATCAAATTACCACTTGGGCACATCCCAGCGTGGCAACGAGCCCGGCAAGGGCTGTGGATGCTGCGAGTAAACCTGGCAAGGGAGGCAAATTCGGAACACATGCAAACTGTTTGGAGGTCCAATAGGGTGCAGAATCCGCAAGGCGGTTCTCACCTAATCCATTGAACAAAGAGTTTCACTGGTCGTAGGGAGAGAGAATTAACAAGGGTGGCACCTGGAGGCTTTTGTTTCAATGTCGGGGCTTGCTAGCTTCGCTGTGCCAATAAGCCCTCCATCACAGGTCAAAGATAGCTCCTTTGCTCCGGATAAAGAGATACAATGACTATAGACTCTACCATGACTTCTGAATTCAAAAGGGTTCCAAAATACTGAAATACTCTTCAATATCTTCAATTACATACTGAACATGCTACTCGGCCATACTGGCAGATCGACTCGTCCATTGGACATGACCAACGAAGGCTTCCCGAACGGTCGTTGGGCCTCATGAACGCGGTGCAGCAAAGGTATGAAGCCTAGACCGGTGAAGCGAACACATTCCTCAGACTCAAAGCAGTCCCTGCAGACTCCAGAGACACTGGGAACGAAAGGAGACGCAAAAGCAATGGAAAGAAATCACAAGTCTGAGAGATGCCAATGAGAGATGCCAAAGCTTTGTTCTTTCTGAGATCTACTTTCAATTCAAGTCAATTTGCACCGAATCCGTCAATTTCGGTGGAAGCACCAGCATTCATACATATTATGACACTTTATGACATATATATTCACACCAAAATGGCAGGAACGTCTGTCTCCAGAAGGACCTACTGTACCACTGGATTTCTCTGGCGTGCTTGGTTTCAGTGAAAACTTCTGCTCAATGGAATGAGTCATGAGATGTCAGACATCATCCCTTAGCCATTTGCCATCATTCGCCTGTAGCAAAGACCTGCTGACAGCAGGAGGCACTGGTCACAAGGACTCCCAAGGCAGTCAAGACCTGCACCGGCTCGACGGATCGACCCGACACTCGCCGTGGGTTGACGGTCCGTGGACATCTTCATAATAATGTTGACTCTTGATTAATCAACCCCCCCCCCCTCCCCCATCCCCCCTCAACAATTGGGGCCTCTAGAATAATATGCTAGAAAAACAATCAATTGATAATTAAATAAGGAATCCTTAGCTAGCTACCTCTGGAGCTACTCTGGCAATACTAAAGTGAAAGGAATCATTACTTAGCTATCTCTGGCAATATTAAAAATGAAAGGAATCATTACTTAAGAACATCAAATCTCAATGGAAATCTCAAAAAATAATAGACTTTTGCATTCAAAGACCTTCAAAATCATCAAATCTCAATGGAAATCTCAAAAACTTAAATAGAAATCTGTATTCAAAGACCTTCAAAATCATCAAATCTCAATGAAAATCTCAAAAACTTAAATATAAATATGTATTCAAAGACCTTCAAAATCATCAAATCTCAATGGAAATCTGAAAAACTTAAATAGACATCTGCATTCAAAGAGCTTCAAAATCAGCAAATCTCAATGGAAATCTGCAAATCTCAATGGACATCTGCAGAAAC